AAGACCTATTCTCGTGCTCTCTGCATCCATACCAGCCTTTCTCAACCTTTTTTCTCAAGCGGAAACCTTTAATATTTTTTATTATTATTATAATAATAATAATAGTTTTCAGATGTTAGAGAACCTCTGCTAAAACCAATTCATTGGGGGACAGTGTGAAAAATGCCCCCCTTTACAACAGTGGTCGGATTCTCCACCAACAAACAGCTAAACAGATTATTGGTGTCATGCCGCTGGCTCTATCTTGGCCTTGGACCTGGTACTATGCAGGCACCATCAAATGAGAGGTCATCAGCCACAGCTCAAGGAACCCCTAGCTACCTCTAGAGGGGCCATAGGGTTCTATGGAACCCTGGTTGAGAATGGCTGATCCATAATATGTTACCATGACTACGCAGAAAAAATAAAAATTGTAGATAAGTCTTATAGGGTCAAACAATTTTGAACATCATCATAAAATCTTCCATAATTAAACCGCTTTAAAAAGGAAAAAAATAATTTATTTTTTCCCTTTTTTGATGTACATATAAAAGATTAGCTAAATGTAAATAACATTACAATAACTAACCACAGCTTGCAAAGCCATCCACAACACTGCCCCTAGCTACATCACCAACCTCATCCACAGATACTGCCCAAATTGCCCACTCTGCTCCTCCCATGATATCCTCCTCTCTAGCTCCCTCATCATCTCCTCCCACACTCGCCTCCAGGACTTCTCCAGAGCCTCTCCCATCCTCTGGAACTCTCTGCCACAGCATGTCCACTCAGACCCCTTTAGGCAGATCTTTGAAAACTCACTTCTTCAGGGAAGCCTACCCCACCTCCACCTAAGAACTGCACTTGAATCACCTCCACCAGATTATGCCCCGCACCTATCACCTTTTGTATCACCTCCCCCTTCCTTTAGTTTGTAAACTCCACGAGCAGGGCCCTCATATTCCTTCTGTACTGAAATGTATTGTAATATCTCCCTTATATTGTAAAGCGCTGCTCAAACTGTTGGTGCTATATAAATCCTGTATAATAATAATAATCAATATTTTAATGATTTCTTTATGTAAAATACATGTACATGAGGGCATTTTTACCACATTTTGTGGGGTTTTTTCAGCTCTTTTTTTTTTGTTAAAAGGGGATATCTTTTTGTTGCTGGGCCGAATAAAGACGCAAGACGTGGCAAAAAACGAACGACATGCGTTTCAGTAGCGCCTGCTTTTTTGTGTTTAAAAAAAAAAAAAAAGTCCCTGACCCTTTCCAAAAACGCAGCTGCTCAAAAAAGCATAGACATGAACGTGCATCATAGGAAACCATGTTAAATGGACTGTAGCGTGTTGCTGAAAAAAAGAACTAAAACACACATTGGTGTGAAGCAGGCCTTAGTCAGTATGGGGTTTATTTACTAAAGCTGGAGAGTCCAAAATCAGACTCCCTTCTGCATAGAAACCAATCAGCTTCTAATCCTCAGCTTGTTCAATGAAGCTTTGGCAATGAAACCTGGAAGCTGATTGGTTTCTAAGCAGAAGGGAGTCTGATTTTGGACTCTCCAGCTTTAGTAAATAAACCCCTATAAGTCTAAGTCAGCCGACTCACTAAAAAGAATGCACTCCCTGCGCAGTTAATTATTTATTTTTTTTTTAAACTGCTGAACAGTTAGTTAGAGTCAGGTTAATTTACTAAAGCCAAATATGCTGTATACTTGTCAAAGGGAATTTCCACTTAACTTTGCAAATGAGGTGAAACTCTGCTGGCTTCTATCATCTAATCATGTGCAAAAAAAAAAAAAAATATGTATATAGAATTTTTTTTTTTGCTTGAGATTGGGTATTCTTTGCAAAGTGAATTTTACAACATTCACTTAGCTAGGGGAAAATTCCCTCACAAAATGAAGACGCTCCATTAATAAATCAAGCAAACTGTATCAATCTATCCATCCTACAGTTACTAATTGCCAAATCTCTACATTTAAAATAATAATAATAACAATAACAACAACAACATAAAAGAGCAAGCATGTAAAATTACGACACCAAAGTTAAAAAAAATATCCTGCATGGCAAAGTGCAGTCATGGTATAATAGATATATGCTGGATCCGTTTACCATTGCATATGTGACTTTTTAATATATCACCACAGCAAATATGCACTCTGCTTTATGCTAGTTTACATGTATATTCCTCCAAGAAACACCTACAGATATGTCTGTACCCTGACATAGCCTCTTTATTTCAGCCACAAGCCATGCCTACCAGGGGAATCACACCACATCTATGTATATGATAAAATAAATATTTCATAACACCAAGACAATTCATTTTCACATCAGTACGAGTTTTTTTAATACCTCTGTTACATTTTGAATGTGTACAGTTTTGCAGCACATTCCCTGCGGTGTCTCCAGCTCAATGTTTTCTGTGCCTCAGTGGGCACAATTTGCTACTAACACTGACAGACTCAACGGAAACATGTTACATCGTCTAATTAGTAGAACCCTGCATGTCCATGTTCTCTCTTGTTAGCCTGGTTAACGTTAAAATACACAGTATGTTGTATTAGCTGACAAACTAATCAGGCCAAGAAATGAGAATATATTACAAAGCAGAAGTATTCTTATTTTCAAGAGATTTTGATCCAGCCAGTGTAAGTCTCAGTGGGTCATCAGTGGATAGAAATGATAACTGAAGCAGTCACGATTTTTAAAGAATTATGAAAAGAAAGAAAACGGGGGAATTTAAGAGTACAGGAAAATTTACATTTAAATAAACTGATTTAAGCTGGTCATAGACGGTTCAAATTTCGGCTGGTTCAGCAAGGACTGGCCGAGGTTCAAACCATTTATTGGCAAGCTGATTGTACCCAATTCGACTGCTGTACGATTTGGGTACAACTGGCATGTTGGATTTTTAAATGAGACTATTGTCAGTGGCTACAGCCGTTAGCAATAATCACTGCGTTCTCCTGGCAGGGACAGCGCACCGACCCCCTCATCCTCACGTTAGCTTCATGGGAGGGATACACACTGGCTTCCTATACTTTTTTTTGGTCTCATAAAGGAGTGGCTTTTAACTTTCTTTTTGTGATTATGGTTGTGTTTACTGATTAGTTTGACCATATGATGCTGAAAACTAGGTGAGATGACTATTATAAGTTCAGTGAAGTTTATGAACGTCTTAGAAATCTTTCACCAATGGTCCAGATAACTGGATTTATCTATGGAATGCAATGAGTGCAACTTGCTGCCAGTGAAATGGGACTCCTATTATGCTAAACATATAGAACAGGTCACTTGAGACATTAATGCAAAGCAATTATAGTGAACAGAGCATAACTTTGGGGTTGATTTATTAAAACTGGAGAGTGAAAAATCTGGTGCAGCTGTGCATGGTAGCCAATCAGCTTTCACCTTCAGTTTGTTCAAATAAGCTGTGACAAAAAAAAAAAAAAAAAAAAATCTGGAAGCCGATTGGTTTCTATGCAGAGTTGCACCAGATTTTGCACTCTCAAGTTTTAGTAAATCAACCCATTTTGGTCTTTTTAAGAAATAATATTTATATCAATGTATATTTATATCTGTGCTGCAATTAATAAATCAGGAATGTTTTACATATATGTGTTCAATATGTATGGTTTTCTGAGTGCTACTTTTGAAAGTCCCCTTATGAAAAAACAGGAAAGGAGCAAGCAAGTACAAATGTGAACTGTCAAACCAAAAATTGCTGGACTTGTAACTAAAAATATGCACTCATTGAACTTCACTATAATGCCCTTTAAGAGTCATACCGTTACACATTTAAAATGGATAGCAGGTACACAACAACTCTGTAAGCTAAAGTCCACGTAAATTCAGATACTTGGATCTTGACCAGCAAGAGTCTGTTTTGTACTCCCAGTTAATTTTCAGCTGTACTGATCGTCAAACAGGAGAAAAGGATGGTTTCAAATTTTTAAAAATTATAGTGAGTCTTCTGACTCCTCTGAACATCTCTTAAATCCCTTACAAATCTTTTGTTGAATTAAGCCTTACCACAAATGTGAAAGGTTACCACCCCCACCCCCCTGCCCTTCCCCCTTAAAATGCTAGTAAAGTCACTTTTTTCATTTTTACCTACTGATAAGCTTATAATAAAGCTTACTTAAACGTAAAATGAATATCTCCTAAACGTTCACAATTTAGGAGATATTCCACTGAGCAGCAGCCTGTGACATCACCAGCGCATGCGCTCTGAATGAATGGCATACCCATGCCGTTCCTTTAGAGCCATGTGTCGTGGTTGAGACTCAGGGAGTGATGTCATAGGCGGCTCAGCCATTCAAGCAGCCGTAGCCGACGAACACGTAAAGATGGAAGCTTCTGCAGCAGCGACAGTGCACCGTTGGAGGTCTTTGTTTTAAGGCAAGTCTTTCATAATGTGCTAGTATATGATGCATGCTAGCACATTATAAGATTACCTTGTTTAAAAAAAAAAAAAAAAAAAAAAGAAGTTTACTACCACTTTAAGCTGGCCATGGATAGTTTGAATCTCAGCCGGTTCAGCAGGAACCATGTATGGGCAGTCTGAATTTACCCAAGTTGATTGATCCACTTGGGTAAAATCAGCCTGTTGGATTTTCATGCGATTCTTGCTTGTAGTAATCACTGTGTTCTCCCAACAGCGATGGCTCCCCATCATCCCATCCAGGGAGAACACAATGGCACTGTAGGAGGGATTCCCCCATCAACATTGACTGGGATGATGGCAGAATCTAGTGATTTTCTTTCCTGCTATCCGTGGTTGCAAGAAAGAAAATTGCTCCATCTATAGCCGGCTTTTTCCTGCTGCTTTAACCACAAGTCCATGAATGCCCCGACAAGCTTCCAAAAGAAAACTGGATCCTTTTTGAGTTCGGAAAGTACAATTTTTTGTTTTCAATGGTACTAAAAATACATATAATAAAGCAATCACATTTGATGACAGTGATCACATTAATACATTTTGAATAAAGATCATAAAAAACTAACCATTTCAGTGCGGAAACCCATTTCTCGTTCCAATGTTGAAAGGTGAGAAAAATGACGGTCATTCTCAAAAAGTGTTGATATGTAACTCCTACAGATAAAAAGGACATATGTAAACAAGAAGTACCATTAAGTGATTCATCTTTGTAAATAAAAACTTAGTTTACTGCCATTTGACCTGTAACTAAAGCCAAGATTTAAAAACAAATATATTATTGCAGCTTACCTATCTATAGGGAAGCTGTATTGTCATGCTAGTACATTGTGTGTACAATTATTAGTCAAGTGAATGTTTTTTTTCCAAATCATAATTTTTATGCATATTGTCCATTTTTTTTCAAATCATAATTTCTATGCATATTGTCCAGCTCCAAGCTATAAAACTTGAATGCTTATTGGATTTAAGCATATCAGGTGATGTGTATTTGTGTAAATAAGGGAGGATATGGCCTAAGGAGATCAACACCCTATATCAAGGTGTGCATAATTATTAGGCAGCTTCTTTTCCTCAGGTAAAATGGGCCAAAACAGATTTAACTGACTCTGAAAAGTCAAAAATTATAAAATGTCTTTCAGAGGGAGACAGCACTCTTGAAACTGCTAAGATATAGGGGCGTGATCACAGAACCGTGAAACGTTTTGTTGCAAATAGTAAACAGGTTCGCAAGAAACAGGTTGAAAAAAAAAAAGACCCAAATTATTTGCCAAAGATATGAGAAGAATCAAACTTGATGCTAACAGGAACACCCTTATCCTCCAGTGCTGTCATATTCCAGAACTGCAACCTACCTGGAGTGCCCAAGGCATTCAATGCTCAGAGACATGGCCAACGTAAAGAAGGCTGAAACCCGACCAACACTGGACACATAATTGAAACATCAAGACTGGGCCAAGAAATATCTGAAGGCAAATTTTTCAAAGGTTTTATGGACTAATGAGATGAGAGTAACACTTGATGGACCAGATGGATGGGCCTCTGTCTGGATCAGTAACAGGCACAGAGCTCCACTTCGACTCAAATGCCAGCAAGGTGGAGATGGGGTTCTGGTATGGGCTGACACTCCAGTGTGAAGTGGCCATAGCTTTAGTAGGGGGACAAAGGTTGGAGGAACAGGCAAGTACAAATCCTCTTCTAGTTCCTGCTTAGGTACATTTACATTTTTTTTTTTTTGTACAGCGAAAGACTTCAAAAGGTTAAGTTCACATTTGTAAAAAAATAAATAAATGCACATTTTTTGTAGGTAAATGTGCATTTATTATTTCTATTTCCTAGGAGCCTAAAGAGCAATGAACCCACAATTAGCAAATCGTGGGTACAATGTCAGGCTTCTACAGGCTCTCAGTACAGACAGTTACCGAAGAGCAGGAAGAGTCATTCAACTACGAGGGCTCTGATTCGTGCTTTTGCAGCTCATTGAGAACTACAAGTTGTCTGCCATAATGGCAGAAGAGACTTTTAGTGCATTTACTCACAGAAATCGGATTAAATAACGTGGCTGCCCTGCACAGACACACTGTTTTAAATTGTGACAGTGGGTCACCCACTTGTCACCATGAGGTTAATTGGGGGGTACGGTGCTGCTGCTTTGGTAACAATGTACACCCCTGAATATGGTTGGAACTTGTAACTAAAGGTGAACTTTAAGACAAATTGTTACTAAATACTTAGGGGCCATAGGTCAAAAAGTTATGATAACAATGTCACTCTCCTATTTTTAATATACATTTTTTTCCTGAAAGTGTGCTCGTGAGAAGCTCTTATAAATATTTATATATGAATATATAATCTTATAAACATTTATATTATATATTCATATATAAATATTTATATGTATACATTTTAAAAGAAGGCATGATACTGCCAATAGCACCATATTCCAGAAGTTATCTAGTGCTGTCTAGAAAACAAAACCGTAACATTGCAGTTTGTAACAACATTGTTTCTTTTTACTCAGTTTTTCTGAGTGTAGTGCCTATAATTTGTTTTGTACATGGAAAGCCAAGACAATAATTGCCGTTGAAACTGATGTATGCAAGTAATCAAGATAATCAGACTGCTTAATTGGAGGGCTTAACATCTACTGAATACAGTCTGCATGGCTGGCATGGAATAAAGATAAGAGCAAAGACTAGGGAACGCAGGTGGTACAAAAGATCAAGTTCCATACAGTTCAGTTACTTTCATTAGGTGGGTGTAGAGAATGCACAGTACAACTGAAAAACACAGGACTTTCATGTCTTATATGTAAATGCCTGAGCTTTTGGAGAAATTAAAGAAAACTTGTAATGAGAAAAATACAGGGGGGGGGGGGTTATGGGTGGTCATTAGTCAGGTCACTCAACCATTACCCCTCTAGGATGAGGGCCTCCTTGATCCGTCAGAGAGTCATACTTCCCTCATAGTGGTCATGGCATGTTGGAAAATTTAGAGACTTCGGTATAGAGATCCCATGAGATAAAAAGATGGAGATTAATGCAAACAGACAGAACCTACCCAAAACCGAAACAACAGTTTAGGGTAGCCAACCCTTCAAAACAAGGATAAAGATAAACAGTACCCCAATAAAGAAAAAAAAAAAAATCTTACCAGTGCAAAAGACCAAATATAGCAGCTGAAAGGGAAACATACCAAAATTGAGAACTATTCATTATTACACAGGATTTATATCATGCCAACAGTCTGTGCAGTGTTTTACAAAATAAGGCAGACAGTATATTTACAATATGATTCAATAAAAGAGAATTCAAAGGGCTCTGCTTGTTAGAGGGTCAAGTGATAGAAAGTTACTGTGGGGGATGAGCTGATGGGTAAAGTAAAAGTTCAGTATATATCAGGTAAAGGCAGGATAGGCTTCTCTAAGGATATCGTTTTACAAGGATCACGTAAAGGTCGATCGAGTAGGACATAGTTGGACGGATTAGAGTAAGGAGTTCCAGAGGATGGCGGAGGCTCTGAAGAAGTCCTGGAGGTGAGCGTGGGCACTAGATAGCAGGAGGTCAGAACATTTATGAGCTGACGTAACAAATTTAGTGAAGTTGATTAACTTAGCTTAGTTAAAGAAGAACTCGGGGGGGGGGGGGGGGGGAACTCTTCTGTGTAGTGCTCACACTGCATGGGGGTTACCTTCTCATTCTGTCCAGGGGAGCACCAAAAGGCTATATTTACCTGATGCTTCAATCCTCCAGAAATCAGCACTCCCCCACTTCCAGCAGTGGACTGTTCCTGCCATCCTCGGGTCCAGAGCTGGTCTATGGGCATGATAATGTTGAGAGCAGTCCATGCACATGACTGTGCATATGGGGGGTTGGTTGAGGAGCGGCAGGGACCAATCCGGAGGTGGATTAGGTAAGGTTTATCTCCACTCTCCTAACCCCTAGGCAACAATGAGTAGTTAGCCCATGCAGTGTGGGTGCAGCCCCACTGCATGGGATTTTTTCCCCCCCCACAGGTTCTTTTTTAAATAATATTCAACATGATTAGAAATATCTCATTTAAAAATTCCTCTGCATGTGATTGGGTGTTAAAAAACATACTCCTTTTGAAAATTACCCTCAATAGGTCTAGGTTCACAGTAGACAAAGCTCTGAAAAGCGCTCCACAGTGGTGCTGTCAGGCGTGCACATGGCGATCCTCTAGAAAGTCTGTTTTCTTCTTTCTTATGAATGGCAGGTTATAATTGTACTAATGCACCACAATCCAAAGCCAAGCATTTGGCTCACAATTGCGGTTCGACCCCAGTGACCTTAATAGCCAAGATTGACAAGTTGTGCTGCCTATCGACTCAGCATGTTGTATTAAATTTGCTGTATCCTTCGCTGGCTGGAGTTTAGCCTTTAGGTGGGTGGCCCTTCATGGCACTCAAGCAGTGCAAGAAATAAGCTACAAACTTGATACATCCTGTAGTCCACAAGCAATGATGCATCTCCCAACTACTGTAGATCTACCACAAGAAAAGTAACATATGAACAAAAATAATACTGATTTGGCTTCAGATACAATTTATTTAATTTTAAGGGGTCTTGCAAAATCCCGTATAATAACAGTGTTATAAGTGAGAAAATACACCAACATGTAAACACCCTTTCACTTGACCTTAATTCGGGAATGTACCATACGATAGTGAAATACCATGCATCGCTTTAATGTGTTGGGTTGCCATTCAAAAAGAAAAGGCAATGCACAAATGTGTGCATGGTGAGTTACTGCAAAGCCAAGGTGTAAAGCCAGCCTTAGAAAGATCAAAAAGGAACAATCTTGTTACTTAAACAGCTCTCTAGGAGCATTCTATCTTTTTTTTCTGGTCAAGGCGCTGTGGGGAAATCTTTGCAGGTTGATAAGTATTTCTCTGAAAACATTACACAAAGCAGTCAACAAACATGAGAAGCACAAATATTTTGCAAAGCATGCCATGAGCTAAAATACACTTTAATGTAAATACATTGCTAAATAGAAAACCAAAAACAGCAGCAGTCAGCTGACCGCATAGTAAATGCCTTTTGCTGCTTAAAATCTCAACACAGAGCCCCCCAACTTTGATATGTTCACAAAGTTCCCCCACTGCTTCATTGCAGCTGTTGCAAAAACCTGCGGATTCTGGGTATGAAGGAGAGTATTACCTTCTCCAAGATGCTTGCTCAGGCAGAGTGGCCAATTGCTTGGCCTGAGCACTCATGTGAGGGAGATGCCTTCAACCCTATTTAAAATCCAATAGCATTCAATACAAACCTTACACAGGGCTTAAAGTGGGACTTCAATCTCTCAATAAACATTAACAATGTTTTAATCCTTATGCTGCTAGCATTAGTAAATAGATAGGAAAATATATCATATTTACTGGCTTTAAACTATTTTTGTGTTTTTTCAGTTACTTCCTTGTTTCTTGCCTAGGCAAGTGATGTCATACTTTCCAGGAGTCTTCAGGAGGGGGTTTTCTCAGCTAAGCACTCCCTTCTGTTTGTATGCCTGAATGAAGGGAAGATAGATTTCTGGAGGTCAGTGCTACATGAATCATCTGCCCTTACTCAAGATGGCCACAGTCAGAAATGCTTTTAGCAAAACCATTTATCAGCAAAATAAAGCATGGAAACATGAATGGATGGGTTAGTTTGCTTTGAATATTAAAAATGAATCAAATACCATTTATGCTTTCTAGTGATCAGATGCAGTATAATTCCGCTTTAATAAATTGATGCAGGCTGAATGGGCAAAGTAGTAGAATCTCCTTAAAACAACCACAAAAACCCAAAACAAACAAAATATAAAAGAATGCTGAAAAGGGGCTTTCATTGAAATATAACTAAAGCCTCATTTACAGGAATGGCTGTTTTTTTTTTTTGACAGCTCCACAGTGGATTGCTTTTTAAGAGTCAAATGACAGGTAGCTCGGAGGGAGAGTGTAAGCTAAGGGGAAGAAACAGTGGCGGGCAGCCAGAGTTTTCACTCTATGGGGAGGAAGGCAGAGCACCCACAACTGCTGGTGCAGAGAGACTGAGTAGAAGATGGTGCAGGCAGACTGGATGGAAGCCGGAAAGGACAGAATAGGGGAGATAGAGCAGACAACAACAATAATATGTGACAAGATATTTTTCCCTGCACGTTGTTCTAGAGTCACTGTAAACACACAGGACTTTCTGACAGACATACTTACAGCAGAGAGGGTGGTAACAACTGAGCTCTGCTTGAGCTCCATAAGGAAAACACCCACAAATTGGGCATCATGTAGGGGGAGGAGTTGAGAGTTGGAATACCAGCTATTAAGATATGAATTACAGGAGAATTATTCTGCATTTCTGTTCACAAAGATAAGTATTTAAATACGAAACTATACATTTGTAGTTAAGCTTTTTTTATTGATGAGACTTAACTGTATTATTATTAGTACAATTATCCTCTAAATGACACAAAAGACCACTGATTCTGTAGAAGTCTACCAGGCAGTGTCCACTTTGCATCTCCATTCATTGCTGTGTGAAGGCCATCTACTATACATTTCAACAGTGTATGAATGGAGATTCTTTTGAGCATTAATGAAATTAGAACTGCCACGCAGAGAGACTTCTGCAAAGGCAGATGTGTGGTTTCAGACCTTAAAAGTTGTTGCAAAAAAAAGGAAGGCAGGTGAATATACAGGATTGGAGACAAAGCTATTTTGGCTATACTTCTATGGATCACAGTAGGGCAATTTTTTCTGCACTCCTGTGACCCATTTTCAGCAGACAGTGGGCTGAAGCCCGCTGTCGGCTGATGTCACTCAGCCAGTTCAGGCTTAGGAAAGATCCTGAATTTACAGCCGGGATCCACGCAGATGCCTGGACCGGCAGCTGGCTCAGCCTCTCAGCATGCCGTTGAAAGCCTGATCCGGACCCTCCCACCCCCTCCACAGCTCAGCTCTCCATTGATGCACTGGAGGAGCAGAGCAGAGGAGGAGAACTGAGCAATCAGCAGTGTTTGATTGCTCAGTTCTCAGGGTAGAGCCGGTGGGGGACAGCTGCAGCTGAGATCGGTGCCGAAGCCATCTAGGCGAGTATTAATTTTTTCCCTTTTCTTAACATTTTAAAGTGGAACTAAACCATCCTATCCTTTTAAGCCAAGGAGGCTGCCATCTTAACCTCTTGCCGTCCGCCCGCTGTTTATAAACGGCAGGGCGGTGGCAGTCCAGGGGCGGGTTGCCGTTCATAAACGGCACCCGCCTTTTCTAGCTGTGCGCGCTCCCTGGGAGCGCGCACCACCGCGATCCGGTGCCCGCTGTGTCCTCCGGACACAGTGAAACACCGATCGTCGGACGGGACCTCTGTACGAGGTCCCGATCATGTGATCACTGATTGGCGAATCAGTGATCACATGCAAAGTAGTAAGCAAGATGTCACTTGTGACATCATTGCTTACTACGTGTGAAATCTGTGAATGATCACAAAGGTCACATGGTACAAGGCTATTCACAACAGCCTTGTACCATGTGACAAGCTGTGACCAATCACAGCTCATTCAGTATTTCTCAATGACTGCAAGAATGCAGACAGAGAGAAAGAGAAATGATTGGTTTTACATCCTTTATGGGTGTAAAAGCAATCAGTGTAAAAAAAAAAAAAAAAAAAAAAAATCTTCATCACCCCCAAGTAGTACAGTGTCACCATGGTGACACTGTACTGCTAGGGTGACAGTATGTAAAAAAAAATAAAAAAAAATAATAATAATAATAATATAAAAAAAAATAAAATAAAAATGTAAAAAAAAAATGTTCAAAAATTATAATTTTTGGTTATAAACTAATTTGGATTTTTTTTTTACTAAAAAAATAACGGAATAAATTTTGGCCAAGATTTATGAAGAAATATTATTTGCTAAATTTTATAAAAAAAACAACACTTTTTTTCAAAAATTTTGGACTTTTTCATTTACATAGTAAAAAAAATTAAAATCCCAGTGGTGAATAAATACCACCAAAATAACGCTTTATCTGTCTCAAAAAAATGGTAAAAAAATTAATATGGGTACAGTGTTGCATGACCGCGCAATTGTCATTCAAAGTGCGATAGCGCTGAAAGCTGACAATTGCCCTGGACAGGAAGGGGGTAAAAGTGTCCGGACAGGAAGTGGTTAAGCCGGCCATAGATGAGTCGAAAACTGAACAAAATTTGTGTCGACTGTTGAATTGTTTGTTTTTCATATCATTAGTGTGCCATCTGCAACACAAGATTTTTGTGCTGCAATTGAAAGTGTCTGATTCAACATGCTGTTTTTTTTTTTTTTCAGAAAAAAGAAACAAATGATGGCACAACTGTGTGATCTATTTTAGTTTTTTGATTGACAGAATGTTCAGTTTTCAACTAGTCTAAGGCCGGCTTTAACCTCTGAACTGCAACTGCCATGGAGTAGCACATGTGAACAGTTATGACACCAGCCATTTGATGATCTGACAGTTTGGTTGAAAGCACAAGAAAATGTGACAGTTATCATTCCCGACATGCTGGGAATGTAACTATTAAAAAAAAAACCTGTTAAATTGATGGGTTTAGCTCTGCTTTATTAGTGTGGGGAAACAGGTTTTTTTAACCACCTCTCGTCCTGCCATTGTATATAAACGGCCGGACGGTGGCAGTGCAGGGTCAGGTGGCCATTTATAAACGGCCTCCCCGCCCCCTGCTTGTGCGCTGCCTGGGAGCGCGCAGCACCGTGATCCGATGCCCGCTGTGTCCTACGGACACAGTGGAAACCAGATGGTCGTACGGCACCTCTGTGCGAGGTCCCGAGCATGTGATCACTGATTGGCCAATCAGTGATCACATGCAGAGTAGTAAGCAAGATGTCACTTCTGACATCACTGCTTACTACGTGTGAAATCTGTGAATGATCACAGAGGTCACATGGTACAAAGGCCATTCACAACAGCCTTGTACCATGTGACAAGCTGTGACCAATCACAGCTCACACAGTAGTACTCAATGACTGGAAGAATGCAGCCAGAGAGAAGGATAAATTATTGTTTTTACACCCATAAAGGCTGTAAAAGCATTCAGTGTAACAAAATAAAAAAAAAATCATCACCCCCCACAAGTAGTACAGTGACACTGTACTGCCAGGGTGACAGTATCTAAAAAAAAACAAACAAATAATATTAAAAAAAAAATAAAAATGTAAAAAAAAAAGTTTAAACATTTTTGGTTATAAACTAATTTGGGTTATTTTTTTTTACTAAAAAGATAACAGAATACATTTTGGCCAAGATTTATGATGAAATTTTATTTGCAAAATTGTATAAGAAAATTTTTTTTTTCAAAATTTTTAGACTTTTTCATTTACATAGCAAAAAAAAAAAAAAAATCCCAGTGGTGAATAAATACCACCAAAATAAAGCTTTATCTGTCTAAAAAAAAAAATGCAAAAAATTCATATGGGTACAGTGTTGCATGACCGTGCAATTGTCATTCAAAGTTTGATAGCACTGAAAGCTGAAAATTGGCCTGGACAGGAAGGGGTAAAAGTGTCCGGACCAGAAGTGGTTAAAATAATAACTAATAAAAGTACCGCTGTCCTAAGAAAGCAAAACTGCTAAGTGCACCGATTCCAGAACTAGGGCATGCATACACCAGAGAAAAGTTTGTGGTGCGTATTGCCATGCATTTACTTTGACTTGTATGGAGATATAAATACAAAGAACAAACTGACTTCAGCCAATCTCACTATCTTTAAAGTGCCAAAAGTAATTGATAATCCCAATGTATTTCATCACGCCCAGAGAGCCACTGGTTACTGGTGGCATGCCTGACTTCTAGGTAACTCACCTCCTCATTTACAAATCCAGCGTTAGAACATCCAATGGGTCAGGACTGTTAAACTGCACTGTTGGGGCTTAGTAGATTTATACAAAAAGCTGAAGCCTTACGTATACTGTGCACCAATGACTCAAAATGGTCCCCAGGTAAAAGGTGGGTAGCTGCAACCACGAAGTGCCAGAATTTGAAAAGAATTATTTTGTTTTTAGACACAATATACTTGAATGGTACTTGAAGTTTATCAAGCACAAACCAAACATGAAATATAGCCAGCTAAACTCTACTACACCTGAGTGCCATAAAGCCTAGTGACCATGTTATGTATGAGCTGTTATATTCACTAAACTCCAGCACACAGGAAAGTTTACAATAGGGTTCCCAAAGCAATTTTATATTGCTTTGCGGCACACACACAATACTTTACCCAGTGCAACTTTGTGAACCAATCAGGGTGGATAAAAATCAATGATTTAAAAAAAAAAAAAAAAAAAAAAATCAAATTTTTTTTATTTAAATCGGATTTTTTTTGAATAAAATGCTTTTTGGAGGAAAAATATATTACCATCCAAAGGTTATTCCATCATGAAATAAAGATTAGTTTTTTAATTATGTAGAATAAGGCTGTATATGTTTAATTTTTTTGGTAAATAAATGCCATTAATCCATTCACAATGTCATGCTCTTCCAGAGGTTTCTGTAAGATTATTGGGCAGTTTCTCTGCCTACAAGATATTATCACAGATGCTTGGTTTACTTTTCAGTTCTCAAAACTGAATTTGACTCAGCGGAGATCACATGCCTCTTCTTCACAGCAAAAATGTTATAACATGAACAGAGTTAAGAAAAAGACCTTAATCCTAACTTCTACAAACCTATGAATACAGAATCAACCCCTTCAGTGCTAAGTTTCAAGAAGTTCAGTGAATAGAATAGAAACAATATTTTTCTGATTGTTTGGAGTGGAATAGATCTGCACAAGAAGAAAGTGAAACTAAGTGTGAGGAGGAAGGGGCTGACAGTCTAAGTTTCTTAAAATATATATATTTTGTTTAGCCAAATTAGTTAACAAACATGGATGTTTAAGCAAATAACATATGCTGGAATATTATTGTTTCAGTTGAATAAATCTATTTAAATTGTTATTATTAAGGTAATGAATATTTTTCTCCTTCCTAAGTACAACAGAAAAGGTGTCCAAATATGGATGATTAACCTATTAAACTGGGGATAAAAAACTAATATGAAAAGTTATTCTAAAAATCTTCATCTACTTGCATATTAAAGTTATATCAGCAAGAATTAGTCTATGTAGAAAACTAGGATTTAAATCAAGCCTTACTGACTAGTGATTTAAATCGTGATTTAAATCAAATCCACCCTGGAACCAATCAATGGTTTCATTCACATGTCACTAATGTACTAGATGAAAGACCTTCCAGACAGAAATATGTTAGAAAGTAGGAAGTTCAGGTCATAGTAGTTAGTCCCATTGAATTGGACTTCTTCAAACTGAGCTTAGGAAGCAACTTGGTTGAGCAGTTGAATGGGACTATAACCAGTTACGTTACTTAGTAAATGAGAAAGAAGGCTATGGATCCAAAACTGCACAGGGGAGAAAGTTGACCAGTATTTTTACCTATCGGCATATTGCTAACGTTTGTGTAGGACTGCCAGAAGCACAAATATTAGACCATAGGCAAATCTTACCAATCACCAGGTTGAGCCCAACCTTTACATTGGCCAGGCTGAGGTAAGAGAAGAGACGCTCCTTGGCTCCCTTATTATTCTTGTGATGGGAGGTCTCGGTTGGGTAGTGGCTCCTAGTTCTCCCCTTAGGGGAAGTGACCCCCCGATAACGATGCCTCACTTGACCATCCGCCACACCACTATGCTCACTGGACTTGTTTGGGGAATCTCTGAGCCGGGACCTGCCCTCCACGGCCATGATATGGACCACTTGAAAATCAAAGCCCCTGAAAAAGACATACACAACCATCACAGCTAGAATCTTTATTCTTTTCTGTTACTTCTATACAATACAGTGCCGTGAAAAAGTAACTTCAAAAAGTCAACTTTATCCCTGACCTGTCTGGTGTGTTCCTTGGCCTTCATTATGCTGTTTGTTCATGAATATTCTGTAACAAACCTCTGAGGGCTTCACAGAACAGCTGCATGTATACTGAGATTAAACTACACACACATGGACTCTATTTACAATTAGGTGATGTCTGAAGTCAATTGGTTCCACTAGATTTTAGTAAGGGGTATCAGAGTAAATGCACACCACACTTTTCAGATATTATTACTATTATACAGGATTTATATAGCGCCAACAGTTTGCTCAGCGCTTTACAATATAGATATTTGTAAAACATTTTGAAAACCATTTATCATTTTCCTTCCACTTCACAATTATGTGCCACTTTTGTTGGTCTGTCACATAAAATCCCAATAAAATAAAATTTACGTTTTTGGTTGTAACATGGCAAAATGTGGAAATTTCAAGGGGTATGAATACTTTTTCAAGGCATTGTACCTTATGGCTCACAATATTACACAAGCAGCAGACAACAGGTCAGGGTGGACTTTGCTCATGGCTTTGTCCTGTTATTTGGTAACAATATTAGGAAACAGCAAAGCTTGTGTAAACGTACAGATGAACACGAAGCAGACATAAACACAATGTAAAGCAGCTCGGTATTCAATACATCATTAAAGAGATTCTTTCAAATGGAACTTGGATATGATTTGGTAGGAAACTCTTGAAATACCCTATGTTACAACACTCACTTAGGCCTTGCCCTAGGCGGCAAGAGGTGGTAAAAAGAGGCAGATGATCCATGTTCTTACCACCAACACATATGAAACTCATGTCTAAGCACGTTGCTGTAGCTGTGATACATTCCATTTGCCAAACCCGTCCATTAAAATTAATGGGAACTCGCCCCAACTGAGTGCAACATGTCTGGCACATGGTTGTAGCATGGTATTTCATTGTAAAATACCTATTGATATCAGAGAAAAACAAAAAAAACAGGCATTCAAGAGGAGGCAGCATTGCCTCCTAAATACCTGCAAATTGCCACCTAGCCATCTCTGAAAAACAATACACAGTGAATCGCTTTTGAAGATGAAAGAAGCCTAAGTGCTCATGTAGATGAGCAACAGTCTTTACCACCCTTCTGAAAAGTGATCTGCAGTGGATAACTTTTCAGAAGACTGTAGAACAGCAGCCTCCGGGAGGTGACCCTGCGGCCTCCCGAATGCCTGTTTTTTTTTTCCCAACTGAATATCTATTTTGTAATGAAATACCATGCCGCAAGCATCAGTCAAGCTTTTGGCTTGTGGTTGTGGCATGGTCCCATTGACTTCATCAGCAAAGTTTGACAAACGGTGCCACCTGTTAAGCTGAACAGAGTTAAATTTAAGACCCCCAGCTGTTATCTTTTAGGTGGGCAGTAAAACGATGGCATGAATGCCTGTTTTTACTACCTGTGTAATTGAAGCTTTAAAGAGGGAAGGGAAGGACTAGGAACTAGGAGTTAGGCTCTGCTGCCTTAAAAAAAAAAAAAAAAACACAGCAGGCTTGGACTGGAGAGAGGACACCACTGTATGTCTTCTACAGTCTACACCTGAAAGTGGTGTCAGCTATCTGGCTGTTCAAATCACAAAACTGGATTTGCCTGCAGTTCAGTTTTACATTCTTGTAGCTTTTGAATTGGGGCCCATTCACACCAGGAACTGCACGTTGCACGATTTATTTGAATGTCTACATGCATTAGCAGTGTGATTTTTCCCTAAGCGTGAGCCCTTTTAGATCACTTCCGTCTTCTTTCTTTGGGTTTTTATGTGCGCTGTGATGCGTTGGGCACATTTGCACTGTGGGAAAATGCAGCCTGACGTACTTGTTTTTACTGCACTGTATTTGTGTGAATTAGGGTACTGTGCAAACATTTTAGGCAGGTGGGAAAAAATGCTGCAAATGAAGAATGCTTTCAAAAATAGAAGTGTTCATAGTTTATTTTTTATCTAAAATAACAAAATGGAAAGCAAATGAACAGAAGAGAAATCTAAATCGAATAAAGATTTGGTGTGACCACCCTTTGTCATCAAAGCAGCGTCAATTCTTCTACAGACACTTGGGGGTTTATTTACTAAAGCTGGAGAGTCCAAAATCAGACTCCCTTCTGCATAGAAACCAATCAGCTTCCAGGTTTCATTGCCAAAGCTTCATTGAACAAGCTGAGGTTAGAAGCTGATTGGTTTCTATGCAGAAGGGAGTCTGATTTTGGACTCTCCAGCTTTAGTAAATAAACCCCTTTGAGACAGTTTTTAAAGGAACTCGTCAGGTAGGTTGTTCCAAACATCTTCCAGAACTAACTACTGATCTTCTGTGGATGTAGGCTGCCTCAGATCCTTCGGTCTCTTCATATAATCCCAGACAGACTCAATGATGTTGAGATCAGGGCTCTGTGGGGGCCAAAATCATCACTTCTAGGACTCCTTGTTCTTTACGTGAACGATAGTTCCTAATGACATTGACTGTGTGTTTGGGGTCATTGTCCTGCTGCAGAATAAGGCCTAGTTCACACTGGCATTGAAAGCAGGTGTTTGAAGGGCATTTTTAACGGTCCTCAAACTCCTATGCAAATGATACTATGAACAGCAGACAGTACTGTTCACATTATCAAAACATGAAATCAAAATTGAAGCCTCATGTTGAGTCTGGAGGAGTTTGAAGCCTTTCAACACCTCCCATTCAAGTCTATGGTGATGCTCTGCAAACGCACTGGTAGGTATTACAGTTTTTTATAGGCGTTTGTGGTGCGGTTTTAATGCTTGTAAAATGCCTCAAAACTACGTAAAGGGCATTTGGGGAGCGGTTTTAACGCTTGTAATACACCAGTCTAACACCCATACTAACTCTATAGTAGCATTTGCTAAAGCAGAAGTAAACCGCTCTAAAAAAAAAAAAAAAGTTTTCTCCTGCAAAGTAGTGTCATAATAAGCATCGTATACTAGCACATTATGAAGGACTTGCCTTAAAACAAAGCCCTCCAGCAGTGCACTGCGATGGTGCAGAGGCTTCCATCTTCACCTGGTATTATTTCAGGTACTTATATAGCGCCATCAATTTACGCAGCGCTTTACATATATATATTTTTACATTCACATCAGTCCCTAGCCCTCAAGGGGCGTACAATCTAAGGTCCCGAACTTACATTATTACATATCCATACTAGGGCCAATTTAGACAGGAGCCAATTTACCTACCAGCATGTCTTCGGAGTGTACGAGGAAAACGGAGTACCTGGAGGAAACCTACGAAGGCACAGGGAGACATGCACGTTCCTTCCAGGTTTGTGGGCTACAGCTGTCTGACTGGCTAAGCCGTGATGATGTCACTCCCATGCATGCGTGTGGGAGTCCTGGGCAGCAGCACAGTACTCTGAAGGAACAGCACAGCTATGCCATTCCTTCAGAGTGCATGCGCCAGCTGCCAAAAAGAGCAAATATCTCCTAAACATTGAACCTTTAGATGTTCATTTTACCTACAGGTAAGATTTATTTTCAGCTTACCTGTAAGTAACAACAAAAAAAAAATCTGGAGTTTTTAACCACTTAAAGAGTTAGAAATTTAGTCAAGTGTGAACAAGCCCTAAATGTGGGGCCAATCACATGCCTCATTTTGTTGATTGCTAAAAATAAACTATGAACACCTCTATTTTTAAAAGCATTCTTAACCTCTTCAGCCGGCCAAACGCAAATGTGTGGCCTCCTGGTGTCTGGGCCTAGACGCTGAGCGGCTGCACATTTGCCTTCTATTAAAAAAGAACATATGTGCTGAGAGTGCGTGCCTGAACGCTCCCAGTACACATGTCCGGTACTCACGGAAAGGTCCCGATCTCTTTTGATCGGGACCTTTCTTTCCCGATCATGTGACCAATGTGACATGTCACGGCAGTCACATGAACCTAAACCCCGCCCCACCTCCTGAAACCCTTAAAAGGGCCGGGATGCGCTGGCGTGAAGGGGTTAATTTACAGCATTTTTTCACACCAGCCTAAAACCTTTGCACAGTACTGGATGCCTATTGGAGAAGCTGGATTTTGGACTGCCTATACATCGGGAATGCAACAAAAAATGCATCAGATTGCATCTGGTGTTAATGATCCCATAACTACTTTACCACCGCCCTATAGCAGAAATAGTACTACAGGGCGGCAGCGGTGCGCAAAATCACATATATATATATACACATACATACATACACATACATACACACACACACGTTTTTGCAGTTCCGGGTAGGGCCAGGCAAAGCAGTGTGCTTACAGTGAAGTACAAACACAGCACACTTAATAAAATGGCACACAGTTAACCCTTTGATCGCCGCCAGATGTTAACCCCTTCCTACCCAGTGCCATTAGTACAGTGTCAGTGCTGTTTTTTAGCACTGATCACTGTATTGGTGTCACTGGGGATGTCAGTGACACCAAGTCAGTGTCAGAATGCCCGCCGCAGTCTGGCTATAAGTCGCTGATTGCCACCATTACTAGTAAAAAAAAAAGTTAAAATCCCAGTATCTATACCGCCATTTGCAAACGCTATAACTTTCACGTAACCAATCAGTTTACACGTATTGGGATCTTTATCAAAGACATGGAGCAGAATACATTTTGTGCTACATTTATTATGAATTTTTTTTTTTACTGGAAACGTTTAATAGCAAAAAGTCAAAAATATTGTTTTTTTTTTCCAAATTGTCATTTTTTTTTTTTTAAATAGCGCAAAAAATTTAAAAACGTAGAGGCAATCAAATACCACCGAAACAAAGCTCTATTTGTGGGGGGAAAAGAAGAACATAAATCTAATTTGAGTGCAGCGTTGCATGATCACGCAATTGTCAGTTAAAAAAACGCAGTGCCGTATCGGGAAAAAATG